GTCAGAATGAGAGTCCAAACAGCTGATAAAAACATCACAATAATCCACAAGTAATCCACAGCACTCGGGGTGTTTATTTATTTATTTTTTATTTATTTTATTTAAAGTAATTTCTTATTTAATTTCTACATATTTATTCCCCAAAAACATTCCATCCTTTTTTGTTGTTCTTTTATCGTTTATGTACCCATTTAATTATTTCTCTCTCTCTCCCCCTTTATTTTTATTTATTTATTTATTTTTATTTTCTCTCTATAAATATTCTCTTTTGACCTTTTACTAACAGGCTGTTCTACATATATATTAGGAAACACATAATGGAGATATAAACATGCTCAACATAATTCTTACACACACGCTTCACATTACTACATGTACATCCTACTTTGTGCTCTACGTGTTTTATATTGATGGTATCGTCTAAGTACTGTATATTTTGTCTTATGTACTGCTTTAAAAACTAATAAAAAAAGTAATCCACAGCACTCCAGTCCATCAGTTAACATCTGGAGAAGACAAACGATTACTTGTGGATTATTGTGATGTTTTTATCAGCTGTTTGGACTCTCATTCTGACGGCACCCATTCACTGCAGAGCATCCATTGCTGAGACACTGATGCAGTGCTGCATTTCTACAAATCTGATGAAGAGACAAACTCATCCTGATCTCGGATGAGCACATTTTCAGCACATTTTCATTTTATCCCTTTAATAAATGAATATGATGTGATTTCTTTAAGTAATATTCTAAATCTAGAAGCAAATATCATCATAATGTAAAATCTTTTAAATGATTATTACTGCAAAAGTGAACTGAAGTGAGTTTGGTTCTGTTTTGCTGATTCATTACCCAGTGAGGTGATGGTCTGCAGGTGCGCTCTGGGAAAGTGCAGCTTGTCACCGCAGCTCTGCTGTTTCTCTGAGTCTGCTGAAGGTCTCATGCTGCTTAAAGCCACTTCTTCATGGATCACAGACATCCTGTGGCCATTCAGCTGAACACCTAGAGGAAACACAAACACACTCTTCGCAAACATCTCTAAATAACATGAGACAACAGAACAAGTATTAGAAATGACAAGGTTGAACAAGCACTACATATAAGAGTCCGAGTGATCCGTCAGCTGATGCTGAACATCTCAAACAGGCAGATAGCAGCTGATTGATTAGTCTGATATTAATCATGTGACAGTAGGGTACAACGGGGTTAAAGGCACCTTTGATATTATTTTCATCTAAACCACTAGATGGCACAAAACCGTGGCGTAGCACTTTCCAAAACATCCGCTTTTCAAGATGCACGTTTATATTTGTCTGATCCTTGACGCATCGCAAAGTTGATTCTGTGCTTACTTGACCTAATATTTGATGTTTTTTAAGATCGCGCGCAGCAGTGCAAAGTTGATTCTGTGCTTACTTGATCTAATATTTGATGTTTTTTAAAATGTTGTAGATTTAAGTAGCAAGTGAGAATCGCTAAAATTAATGCATATATTTTGAGACAAAGGTCTTCTTAAGATAATTAGAGCAACAGTTTTTAAATAACGAAAGAATATGTAAAAGTATGGTATTTGGGGTAAAAAGCGCCCCTGCTGTTGGGGCTAAAGGCACAGTAATTAACATGATAATTAACAGAAGGCTGATTTTTCCATTTGTTGACGGTTAGATTCAGATGGTAAATATCATATATTATGTTGGGTGTCCATATTAGAGATAATCACCATGTTTAGAATGAAACCATCATATTTAAGAACATGATATTAATCATATCATATAATAACATTTCATTTGTTGTTACTACTGTAAATCTATATTCAATTATTATTGGATCTCCCTCAATGCTTTCAGAATCTTTATTTTTTTAAATGATTTTGATTCTGTATTTTAAAATGTATTTTTATATGAACGTATTTTAATGACAGTGTATTTAATGAACAAAAAATAATTCTTTTATTTGTCAAAATAAGCAGAAAATAGTACAAACTTAGCTAAAGTGATTGTTTTGAACAAGACATTATTAAACAAAAACATTATTTTAGCTGAAGTATTTGTATCAATACTGTGTGCCACCGCATACATTTATAAGATTTTTAAACAAAATAAACAACTTGTATGATTTATTTTCACACAAAATCTGTGGCTCCATTAATGTTCAATACAAACGTATATATGTTTTCTGCAATTATACATTTTAGGCACTTTAGCCCCGTTATACTCTACCGTTCAGACACTCCATCTCGGGCTCTTCTCCGGCGCGGTTCTTCTGCAGCCGTTTGCTCTTGCGTCTCTGTTTGCAGTAGAACATCAGTCCCAGCACAGCAATGATGTACGCCACGGCCACGGCCACCGACAGCGCGATCGTCTGGAACATCTTAAACTGACTCTTATCCTCGTCTTCACTGCGCGGGTGCACAGGCTTCTCTGAGAACAGAGACAGAACACATCAGTCTGACACATCACAAAAAACACCACAGCAAAATCACTGCAGGCCATTCAGTAAACTGTTACACATTGCTATTCATCAAAATAAACAGTTCAGAACTAGAAGTTTACAGTGTAACTGTAGCTTTTTACAGTTGCTAGGCAACAATGTAACACACTGATAACGAATGTGTGTCACTGGAGAGTGTATCAGTTTATAAGCACTTCAAAGGCATTTGATCCGTTCAAAACATCAGTGTAACATCACACTGAACTTCATTTAAACCACCTAAACCTCTTAAACACTGACCTAAATCCTTCAGAAGTTTTATTTTTAAATATCTGAATAAGTAATAAAATCTTAAAGATGATCATCTAATAGTCTTGTTTTATGAGAAATTGATTCAAATGAAGTGAGTTTATGATTAAAACAAAGAACAAATATCTCTCATAGATATTTGAACTGAAAACAAAATTAAAAAAACTGAGGAAGAAATTCATTTTTTGCAGTCTATGCGACATTTAATGCCAGCTTTATGAATGTAAGACCTTCTGGTCTAATTTAAGACATTCTAAGGCCTTCATTTGTGGAAGGACGAATTAAGATTTTATTACCCTTTTAAGACCCACAGAAACCCTGTGTATTGGATAAAGCACTATAAAAATAAAAGTGAAATATGAAATGAAATAACAAACCTGCTCTATGATCTGTGTGTGTACATGAACACATTGACTTGTCAAACTAAAATCTGCTTTACTTTTTAAAAAACACAACAATCAGGTTAAAATGTTCCTCACCCACGACATAGAGCTGCGCTGCCGTGTCTCTGATGTTGCAGGTGTTTCCTGCGATGCAGGTGTACACACCCGTGTCCTCAGTGGTCACGTTACTAATGACCAGAGAGCCATTGGGCATCTTCTGAAACCTGGAGAAACACAATCAACACACGTCAACATCTGCGGCATGAAGGATCATCATGTATGTAAGAGACAGACAGGTGCAGTGAGACAGACAGACAAACAGACAGGTGCAGTGAGAAACAGATGCAGTGAGACAGACAGGTGCAGTGAGACAGACAGGTTCAGTGAGACAGGTGCGGTGAGACAGGTGCAGTGAGACAGACAGGTGCAGTGAGACAGGTGCGGTGAGACTGACAGGTGCGGTGAGACAGGCAGGTGCAGTGAGACTGACAGGTGCGGTGAGACAAGACAGACAGGTGTGGTGAGACAGACAGGTTCAGTGAGACAGGTGCGGAGAGACAGACAGGTGCAGTGAGATACAGATGCAGTGAGACAGGTATGGTCAGACAGACAGGTGCAGTGAGACAGACAGGGGCAGTGAGACAGGCACGGGGGGGGAGA